TGTGTGTGTGTGTGTGTGTGTGTGTGTGTGTGTGTGTGTGTGTGTGTGTGTGTGTGTGTGTGTGTGTGTGTGTGTGCGCGCGCGCGCGCGCGCGTTTTACTGGCCTATGGCCAAATCATCGGCTGTCAGAAAACTAAATTTGCTGGTTTAATTAAAATTTAAACTCAGTTTGAAGCAAATTTAAATGACGTCGCGCTATGATTGCGACATTTATGATCCCGAATGGAGATATCGTGTATTTTGATCGGAGAGAATTTTGTTTGGTTATCTATGATTGCATTATCATTATTGTTTAGTGTACAGCGCTTTTGTTAGAACTGCGGCTGTTGTGAAAGCGCTATATAAATAAATTTGAACCGAGATTTGAATTGTGTTGAACAGAGCAATTGTTAAAGGCCAGTGTGCAGCACGGCAGCATAACTGCCAGCAAGCGACGCAAATTTTGGATCAGTTTATCCGGTTTGTTGTCATTGTTGCCGTTGTCGCCGTGATCAGCGTCGGCGGCCTCCTCCTCACCCTCCTGATCCTGCTCCCCCTCGCCACCAGCCGCTCCCTCAGGTGAGCAACGGCGCGGCTGAAAGACCACATCCAAAAACTCCAATCTGAGGAAGCCGGGGAGACCACGCAGCATTTTGCAGTTGTGCAGAACCTGCAACTCGTCGAGAGTGCAGGCCTTCAGGTAGAGGCGCTTCAGGTCCTTCAGGCGGCTGGCATAGGGGAACCCTGGCGCCACCTCCTTACCGCCAAGGCTCAGCTCCTCAAGTCCAAGCCATCCTGTTTCTAAGCCTAAGGAGGCCATTGGTCTCTGGTAGCCCTGCCGCGTGGTGATGCTCATTTCCAGAAACTTAAGCCGGAATAGACCTTCCAAGCCGCAAACACCTTCCTTGGCGGCACAGCCTCGGAGTCCATTTGCAGTCACGTGAAACGTGTCGCATAACTCCAGTCGACTGAGCCTCTCCCATGATGTCAGACTTTGCAGGTGTTGGTCCTTAAAAGAGGGAACGCTGTTGAGAATTAAACATTCAATCGAAATCCCCGATGGCGCACTGTGTCTTTTTCGTTGTTTCTGATTAATGCTGGAAGTCGCCTGCGTGTTCTCTTGAGGTGAAGCAGCAATGCCTTGGTTGAAGAAACCATGAGGCAGCTCACAGCCTTGCAGCTCCAGCACCTTCAAGGATGGCGGCAAGAGCTGGCAACTGGGCAGGCTTCTCAAGTCCGCATGCAGAAGATAGAGCTTGCTCAGGCGAGGGCACTTTGTGGACAGAGCTTTGAGCCAAGCCTCAGAGAGGAAAGTGCCACCTCGGACGGAGAGGAGCAAACCACGCAGTCGTAAGTACCGTAGTCCACAACCGAGATACTGACGCAGAAGGACCCACAAGATACGGGACGTCATCTTTTTGAGAGAGAGAGAGAGAGAGAGAGAGAGAGAGAGAGAGAGAGAGCAGATTTAAAGTCTACATCATTGTCAAATGTCTTTTTTTTTTTTTGGTGATTTAAATCAACGAGACAAAGATAAAACATTTCAAAACTTTTTCCGCCATTGACCTACACAACATGTATGGAGCGAATAGAAAAATAAAAAACAATGGCAGAACAGGGTTAGAATAGTTTGGGATTTTTCATTCTAGTTAGTTTTATTCTGTTTTTTTAAAAGTCAGTTTTACATCAGGTGCGTTAAATATTTATTTGTCACTTTTTTAAAAATGCTTCATTTTACTTTATTAATTTTAGGATTTGTTTTTGTTTTTTTTAATATGGAATATTTCTGGAGGGCACTATAAAATAGGTCACCAAATAAATAAATTAAAGTAAATAAAGTAAATTACAAGTCCCAAACGACTGTTTAACGTTCTTTCTTCTCTACATCCATACCAAAATAAATACTGTACATTGAAAATAAATCACAAATTAATGTGGGATTAATCGAATAAAATTTAAATTTAGTGTGGTGTAAAATGTACTTTCAGTTAGTTATTTTAAGTCTCATTTTTATCTTATTTAGTTAATGAAAATTTTTTTTTGTTTTGTTTTAGTTTTTTCGATAGATTTCATTAACTCTAATAACCTTTGTTCAAAATTAGCCCATCACATTCAAGATCATGTATGGCTTTTCTCTGATAATACCAAAAAAAATGTTCAGATGAAAATAACCTCCTACTAAACTTGAGGCAAGCCCCTTCTCTGCCAGTCTTCAAAACTCGTCGTAAAACACATTTTTAGTCTTTGGCTTTGGAATTGGTTTTGTTTTCATATTTTTTACAGCTTGTATGTTATTATTTATTGTTTTAACCGTATGTTGCTGTATGAACAATTTTTGCTCAATGCACAGAACTTTGTATGCGGCGGTGGTGGTTTGAAAGTGCTCTATTAATACAGTTGAGGTGAGTTGAGGAATTCATGGGAGCCTTTGCTATTGCATCCACCAAACTCCGGGAGGTGCTACCTTTCCAACACATTCCACACACTTTACAACACATTATATTCTTTCAATATTCGCTCAGACACAACCATTAAATAATTGCACGACAAGACGAGGTAAATAAAGTGTCGAAAATCCACTCTGCTTTTCATTTTAGAATATTTCGTCAGTACGTACACAAAGCTCAATGCAGAAAAAGGCCGGTTTATTTTTAGATTTCATTTATAGACCACAAAAGGACTACAGGTGAAGACGTATTGCTCCAGTTTTCTTACCCCTTTCCACGCTGTCAAGTCGACAAGTCTCCACAGTTTTTGATCCTTTACAAGGCGTCTCCATCTCTTACACACTCTGAAAGGACATTTCAACACCACACAGCTTTAAATCATGTGGCAAAAATCACGGGTAAATATTCCACACAAAATGACAAAGGCAGGCTTTATTTTTGGAGATCAGTCTCCACTCGCTCTCACCTCCCAGCTCTAACAAGCTCGCGCACGCTCAAATATGACAGCACGTCAATTAAAATGTTTTCTGGAAGGTAGTCGAGGTTACACGCTGGAAATTCATCCATTATAGAAACAAAACTGTTGACACCTTTTTCTTTTTTTGAGCGCGGACTAAATATGTTGAGCACATCAGGTGCTCCTTGATGAATACTCCGCCAGAAACATCAACTTGACACGGCCTGGTGTAAATTAGTCGATGTTAATGTTTTTAAAAATCCCATTATACTATTATATATATTAGATAAAAATAAAACTGATTCATATTTTTTGAACAAATAAGTGTTATATGTCTACAATTTTTTTTCAACCCTGGCAGTTACGCTAGCTAAGATCCTTACATCCCACATCACGCATGCGCTGTTCACCGGACAAGATGGCGACCAGCAACGGAGGAGGAATGGAAGTGGACGGGGCAGGCGAGTCTTTTCACACTTATTCAATTACTTTTCCCCCTACAGTGCTATGATTACGCTCGCAATTTGTTGCGTGCAATTCTTAAACTTATAGATGTCTCTCTCCGGTTACGAATACGCGAGGTTAGCGCTCTCGTTGCGAGTTTGCTGACACAAGCGGCTGTGCTGTAAAGCTGTCAACACATGAACTAGTTTGAGGCGAGGTTCCCTTTCCCTGGATGTTTATTATGTTCAATCAGTGTCATTGCGCATCTATAGGTAGTAATTTAAAGTTAGTAACAGTTCCCCAAATCCCGTGCAAGCATGTTATTCTTCTGTGGATGCTATGGAAAATACAAAATCTCATTTTGTGACCAAAATGTGTACCTGTTGAGAAATGAACTTGTGGATGTTTAGCTTGTCTCTCTGCATCTGTAGCCAGTCCCAGTGTTATGGCCTCCGGGATGACTGGCAGCGTCTCGGTGGCCTTGCACCCTCTGGTTATCCTCAACATATCAGACCATTGGATACGCATCCGTTCACAGGAGGGACGACCCATGCAAGGTAGGCTGCTTATTATGTACCAAGCATGTCTCTCGTTGTTGTCTCGCTCACTAGTTTTCTTTCCTCAGTAATCGGCGCTCTCATCGGGAAGCAGGAGGGCCGAAACATCGAGGTGATGAACTCCTTTGAGCTTCTCTCGCACACAACGGACGACAAAGTGCACATTGACAAGGAGTACTACTACACTAAGGAGGAGCAGTGTGAGTTGTGTTGGGTTTTGCGATTACGTCAGATTGTCAGTGTTATGCTGACTTTGCAACATCAATAAAAGCACAGGTGAAACGCTTTCATGCTTTTTAAGAGATTTGGAATTGTGTGCAGACTTGTTATGTTGTATGGTATGGTTTGTTTTTTTTGTGTGTGTTTTGTTTTTTTTTTTAAATTAGCTCCCATCGTGAGTGACATGTCATGTGGTTTTCATGTCACAGTCAAGCAGGTGTTCAAAGACATGGAGTTCTTGGGTTGGTACACCACTGGCGGCCCTCCCGACACGTCCGACATTCACATTCACAAGCAGGTGGGCACATTTGAATGAGGCAATGATGCTCCATCACGCTTGACATGTTGTGACCTCGACTGTCTTTTTCTTCTCTGTCAGGTGTGTGAGATCATCGAGAGTCCGCTCTTCCTCAAACTTAACCCGATGACCAAACACACCGATGTGAGTTGCTTTCTCGTCCGCCAATTTGGCTGGTTTGCAATTTTATTATATGTATTTATTTATTACCAAAGGAAATAACAGAAATAGATAGCGTGCTTGTAAAATGGGCTGGTGAGTGAGTGACGTGTGCGTCAGCGAATGAGAGTGTAGTTGGCTATTGTTGCCTCAAATTATTAGCTAACTGTTAGCAAATGTGCATGTTGAATAGATTTTGGCCAAGGATGATTCTGAGGCCGATGGGAATGCGGCTAAAATATGCCGACTCATCTATCCATTTTGTCTTTGTTTTCTTCCTCAGCTACCTGTGAGCGTTTTTGAATCAGTCATTGATATCATCAGTGGCGAGGTACCCATCCTCTCAAATAAGCTTATAAACTGGACCCATCAGCTTGTATTGTTTTCACTCCTTTTTTTTTTCCTCCCTCGCATTAATGCAGGCCACCATGTTGTTCGCCGAGCTGAATTACACTCTGGCCACGGAGGAGGCTGAGAGGATCGGCGTGGACCACGTCGCCCGCATGACGGCCACTGGCACGGGCGAGAACTCCACAGGTAAAAGTTGGAGCGAGCCGATGGAAACGTGAAATGTGAAATGCGCTTCTGAAATCCGTTTCCGATACTTATCACCACAGTGGCCGAGCATCTCATCGCCCAGCACAGTGCCATCAAGATGCTGCACAGTCGCGTCAAGATCATCCTGGAGTATGTCAAAGCGGTGGAAACGGGTGAGAAGCCCTTGTTAGTTAAACAAGAATGCTTGGCTTGTTTTCTTTCTGCTTTTAAATTGGGAACTTCCTATGTTGGCACCTCATTAATCAGAGACCGGCCTCCTCAATCTCTATGACAACTTTTTTTGATGTCACACACTGACCCTGTAGCTGAGGCATTATTATGAATCCCGCTTGGAGTTCTGCCTGGAAGCAACAGCCTCCAACCTAGAACTCAATTGGGATTTCTAATGATTCATTGAGTTCCCTCAAGTCCTCTCTGAGCTCATCAGTTTGGCATTAATATTATTTTGCCGCGCCGTTTGTGGTCATTCCGTTTCTTGAAGGGTTAACGCACCGCAGCATAAATGCTGTTTAGCATGAAGCTTATGGAAGCTATGTGGTTGTTTTTGCACAAAATGTACATTTATTAGGCCCTCGAGGACCGGATTTGCTCATTCCTGAGCTCGAGGCATGGTGTCGGTGCTTTATGATCCTCTTGTGACATCTACAGTATCAACAATTTCAAATCCTAATGTAAAATCTGTGGGGGGCAGCGCTCATTTTTCACAGATTTTCACTCCCCGCTGCAGGGCCTGGTCTCTTTCCCCTGTGAACAGTGGGGCTTTGATGGTTACTTAAATAATCTACTTTCTTTTTTCCAATAAACTCAACTAAACCACTTGTGGTCATGTCAAATGTGTCACTTGTTGCCAGGCAGAAATTTGATTTTAATTTTTTTTTTTTTTGACTCATTCATGTGACAATTATTTCGTAAGTGCTAATTTCATGGTTTTGGGGGGTAATAATTAAGGAGACACTCACTTTGTTGTTTTTATTCCTTTTCCCAATATGACTTTCTTCAGGCTTATTAGCTCCCCCCTTGTATTCAGCTAATCTTTTTATTTTAAACCTCTTTTTACTTCGGTACTTAGGTGCTGTTTTGGGGATACTTTCCTTGCTGTTAGCTGAAAATGCTTCCAAATTAACCTTGAAAGTGCTTGAATGTTGTGTTTTATTTTTTTTTTTCCTGGCGATCAGGAGAGGTTCCTTTCAACCATGAAATCCTGCGAGAAGCAAACGCTCTGTGCCACAGATTGCCAGTCCTCAGCACGATTAAGTTTAAAACGGACTTCTATGACGTAAGACCCTCCCTCTTTTGTTCAGGTTATTTTTGCTTGTGACCACAAATTCGAGCTTGTACCTTCCTAACACTGCCCCAACCCATTTTGCTTCTGCCCGCAGCAATGCAACGACGTGGGCCTAATGGCCTACTTGGGCACCATCACGAAGTCATGCAACAGCATGAACCAATTCATCAATAAGTTTAACGTCCTCTACGACCGACAGGGCATCGGCCGTAGGATGAGAGGACTTTTCTTCTGACGCGCCAACATGGAAGTTTATATTTTTGTTTGTTTTGTTTGGTAGTTTTTTGTTTTGTTTTATTGGGAGGTCGGCATCAAGTCGCAGCTCAAGCCACCGCAGCTTTTCAACCCTGCTTCAAGTGTAGCCCAAAGCACTTAGCGACACCAGTAAACAGAGGCTCTTGTTTACCACTGGACATGAACATATTTTATTTCCCCCTCGTTTTATTGTAATTTGATCATTCTGTATGTAATAAAAGATTTACTGTTTGTTTTTCCATGCGACTTCTGGATCTCCTTAAAGGACCATACGCATTTTCTAACATGTCAACGTTGCATTTTTTTATTTCTTTATTTTAAACAAGCTTGTGGAAAGTCCAGCAATTTTATTGTTCTTTGCTGTTTGAAGTCACCTTCCCGCTGTTTGACGACCCCATGGAGAGTTAGGGGGTGTATGCGAGGGATGCGGGGGTGTTCCGGTGGACAGGTCAGCAGTTTTCCACCTTTACAATGTATAGCGGAACTCGACTTAATGACCCCATGTGGTGTTCAAGGGGAGAAGCCAAAATACAACCGGCAGTAAATTAGATTACAGTATGTTGATTTATTCAGGGATGGGCAGCCTAAGGCTGGTGTGAGATTTTAATCCAAAACAAAATCTCGGTTGTAAAAAGGCTCCCTGGCCCTAATTGACACTTCCACACTGACATAAATATGAACAGATCTTTTCTGTTTCCGGCCATGGTAAAGATTTATCAAAACTGATTTTTTTTGTGTTGGTGGGAAGCATGCTGCTTTTGAGCTTGTGTCCTTTAAGATGACCAAGTGAGCAACATTTTAATTTTACCTAATGATATCGCCTAACGTGTGCTGATTAGATTTTGTGCAATGTCAAAGCGAGTGCACATTAAAACATGCACAGTTCACAAATCAAATAATTCATGTCTCCTTCGCTCGATATAGATGAGGGCTGATTTTACACATCATGATGTAATGCCGTTGATTAAGGTGTCAGTGCAAGTCAAGTCAGCTGATGTTATTTTCAACCTCCTGGTTAAAAGTGTGCTATGGAGCCGACAAAGGTGAGCTTTTCCTGAAGACAACACAACAGGATGTTACAGAAATTTTACCTATCAACTTTGTGGGCTTTTTACACATTGTCACAAAGTATGATGAGTGCCTCCATCCATTTTCTAATCTGCTTATCCTCCTGAGGGTCACAACCATGCTGGAGTCTATCCCAACTGTCTTAGGGCAGTAGGCGGGGTACATCTTGTGCCATTTATATCCAAGTATAAACCTTTGTGGGGAGTGTCAATAACTCATGGAACTGTACTAGCCATTAAAATGTATGGTAGATTTTTTTATTCCCCTGTGGCTTGGATAGGTAGGTTTTAAAAACTGTGTGTGTGTGTGTGAATGCTTGGCCTCAGAAAAAGTATTTCCCAACCTTTATTTGAACCAACCTTATATTAGAATGATCTCACAGCACACCACCAAACAAAAGATGTCACCAAATGTTTACT